ATTCTTTTATATTTTAATGCCATTTTATGACCATATTAATCGAGAGACTTAATTTAAATGTATCACATCGCAAAGCTGTAAAAAATAAACTAGTGAAGACATAAAGGCAGGTTAACAAAAAAAAATTTTTTTTAAATGTGAGATTTCTTATTTCCATTTAGTTTACCTTGATGTATTAAAATAAAACTAAAACCGAAATATAAATAAATAAAAACGATATAGACGTATAAGAAAACAAAATGATAAAAACACAACCAAATTACCAAAACTTTCAAATTAAAACAGAAATATATAAATATATTTCAAAATATTAATAAAAATTATAATAGTAACTCAGTGATACTAAAATAACACTTCATATAGATTATTAAAATGATGATATGTTCAGATCAACGAATTGGAAAGTATTTGGAGAATTAGAGATGAAATTTCAGCCAGTTTTAGAGTAGGCTACTGTGGTGCGACATGTTATAATTCATCTAGGAATATTTGAATTGACTGTTCTTCTTGTTGCCAATTCTTTTATATTTTAATGCCATTTTATGACCATATTAATCGAGAGACTTAATTTAAATGTATCACATCGCAAGGCTGTAAAAAATAAACTAGTGAAGACATAAAGGCAGGTTAACTAAAAATTTTTTTTTTAAATGTGAGATTTCTTATTTCCATTTAGTTTACCTTGATGTATTAAAATAAAAATAAAACCGAAATATAAATAAATAAAAACGATATAGACGTATAAGAAAACAAAATGATAAAAACGCACCCAAATTACCAAAACTTTCAAATTAAAACAGAAATATATAAATATATTTCAAAATATTAATAAAAATTATAATAGTAACTCAGTGATACTAAAATAACACTTCATATAGATTATTAAAATGATGGTTTTTTTAAATTTATTTAATAAATGGTGACCAGTTACAGTACCCAAAATAAAAAAACTATAAATGTCAGATTATTTATATTTAATTAAAAAATGTTACAAAAAAAAATAAGAAAGAAATTAATTTGGTACCTTGTTGAATAGATGGCACTTCCCACAACGTCTGTATTTAAATTACGACACTCATTAACATTCTGTGTATTTCTCATGAGTTGTGTAAACAGTCAAATAGCTGAACTGTACTTTTATTAGTTAATTAAACCCCTCCGAGCATGTGTTAACAGCGCCTGTTGTCCTGTGAAGTATCTTCTGATGATGAGCCACGTTAATAGTCCTGTTGTGTCTGTAAAGGAACTTTGGAAAGAAAAGCATCGTAAAACCCAGGGTGCAATTATTTCAATATTATCATCTCATTAAACTCCTGAGATACTCCATTCGGAAACCTCCCTCCAGAAACACCACACATGGAGATTTAAAGGGCCTGGAAAACAGGGATTCAAAGTTAACTGGTCACAGATAGAGGGAAAGAGCATCTGAATGGGCTGTGTTCATTGGTCAAGCTGTGTGGACCCAGCTGGATGCTTTTTTTTATTGTAAGAGTAAAGGACTTAACGGACACATGGAGAGCTTGGCCTGCTCATGGCTTTGTTTTTTCTCAGGAGACTTTGCATGATTAGAGGAACTTGTATATTCGGCTTATTTCGAACCATCTCAATCGGCACGGTCCCGCTTGTCGGGCCTCTGAGCCGAGGGGTATCATTTCTTGGGTTATTTACAGTTTGGCATACATGGCCTTAATTAGAGTGTGTAGAGTGCTGCCTCAGAAGATGTGTTCCAGATGTGGGCTGGAATTCAGAGAGCTTTGTAAAGAAAAGAAACAGTGCTCTGCAGGAGATGCCTAAAGAAACTCGAGTCAGAGAAAACTGTTGAAGGGAATTGACAGAGTTGAGTGGGGGTGGTGGTGGGGAGGGGGGAGGTTCTGGCACTTTTCAGGGTTAAATATTCATGACTATGTCTGTTTCTTTAACAGAATGTAGTCTTAATTGTTCTGACTGATTCTGTGCCTTAGACGATTGATCTGATTGAGTGATGGTTTATATTACAGCTCTGTCACCTGTGATCATTTACTTATGAGCACAAGCATGTGTATCATATCAGACAAAATCAAGATCAGGAACAACAAAAACAGTTTTTTTTTTTTTTTTGGCCATTATGCAATATGCAAGCAACACCAAGGTCATGGGTTCAACTCCAAGGGAATGCAAAACCTGTATACCTTGAGTGCAAGTGTCTGCCAAATGCATACTGTTTAAAAAAACAAATGTTTAAATAATGGTTTTGGGTTCAAACTCACATAAATTTATATTGAATGTATAAATGTATATGCATATTGGTAAGATTTTTTTTGTGTGTTTTTGAAAGAAGTCTCTTATGCTCACCAAGACTGCATTTATTTGATCAAAAATACAGTAATATTGTGAAATATTATTACAATTTAAAATAACTGTCTTCTATTGTAATATATTTTAAAATGTAATTTATTCCTGTGATCAAAGCTGAATTTTCAGCATCATTACTCCAGTCTTCAGTGTCACATGATCCTTCAGAAATCATTCTAATATGATGATTTGCTGCTCAAAAACATGTATTATTATTATTATTCATGTTGAAAACAGTGCTGCTTAATATTTTTGCGGAAACTGTGATACATTTTTCAGAAAAGAACAGCATTCATTTGATTTTTTTTTTTTGTTAATATTACAGTAGCATTGTAAAGGCCTTTACTTCTGTGTAAAAAAAGTGTGAAAAAGATTAACCCAGTAACTTTGTTTTGGTAAGCCTTTTTCTGCAAGCGTCTGAAAAAAGGAGCGCGTCAGATTTCGCTCCCTTGGTGAGGTGGCAAAGGGATCTCATTAATATATTACCGCCCCTTAATCTGTAAGTTTCCACCCACGGCGCCGTCATTTTGATTTTGCAAGTGACAACGGTGTATTAGTTCTAATGCCATGGTGAAAGTTTGAGCAAAACATGCTAACTGTTCTGTCGTTGGCTGCACAGATGTGCACACATGAGCACGGAACACCAGTCCCAGCCTCAGAGGAGACAACAGAGCAGTGCATTTATTGATTTATTTATCTCACAAGCTGTGACAGCCGCGTTCTGTCCGTGGGCACTCAGAAAACCACATATAAGAAGTTTAAACTCATATGGTTTAAAATGCATGATTTCAGCGCGATAAACATGATAATCAGAACCAAAACAGATGTTTTTTAGAAGGTCCGAGCTGTAATGGCGCAGCTCTATTCTGGAAAAGGGGGCGGGGAGCAGCAGCTCATTTGCATTTAAAGAGCCAGGCCCGAAAAACAGCCTGTTTCTGCTTCCACTCAAAATAAATGATCTGTGGAGTATTTTGAGCTGAAACTTCAGACACATTCTTGGGACACCAGAGACTTACATATTGTAAGAAGGGGCATAATATGTCTCCTTTAAATGAATAAACTTATTAATTTTAATCTTTAAACAAAAGAAAAGTCTTACTGACCCCAAACTTTTGAACAGTAGTGTATAAGCCAAAGTGTATGTCTTAACTTTCTTATAAATTTGAATTTCCTTTTTGCATTAACTAGGTCATTTTAAATGGTCGTGTAAATCAAAACAAGTTCATGTTTAAAATGTAGTCCATGAAGTCCGTCAACTACAATTATCATAAAAGATGTATAATTATTAAAAACAAAATTATAATATTAATATTGTTGCAATTGTGGCAAGTCATGTGGCATGACAAGACGTGTCAGCTTTCCAAAAGTATTTAGCCCCCAAATATGAAGAAAAAAATTTAGAAGGAAGTCAAGGACGTTTGAAGGCGAATGTTTTGCTGATTATCAAGCAACCACATACAATGACTGCATGAATGAATCTACTGATAATGCTCAGCGTTGTGTCCCTCTTAAGAAACTGAAATAGCCTACATATGGGTTCCTTCAGCGGCAGAGCAAAAAATGTCTCAGGAAATACCAACCTGGCTTTTTCATAAAGAAAACAGACTGACATTCCACCCAGCTTTGAGAAAGAGGACTGGGACTGTAAGACGTTCACCTGCAGTGCAACTCCACAGAGGCTCTGTTCACCATATGTGTGAGGTAAAAATAAAGGGGTTTGAGAGCTATCACTGAGTGTGAACTTCACGTCTGTGTCTGCCTATATTGGTCTATTTTTTCCAATATAGAATATTATTATATTATATTTTTCTATTTTTCGTTTAGTATGAAGCATGAATCTCCACAACTGGAAGAAAATATTTTTTCGAAGTCCAGTGTTTGCTATTGTTTGTGTTTAAGAAAAAGATCCGGCCGGCGCAAAGCTTTGTTTACACTTTTGCCTGATACTCCTACATGATTTGCCTGGGGGGGGAAGGAAAATATTCAAAACTGGCAGGAAGGCAAAACTTTTGTATGTAGTGGAGACTTATGGTTTGAGGTTGTGTGCACAAAACATTTTCTACAGAGAATAGGGAATATGACAAACGTCCTGTCACATCCGTCAGAGTGAAATAGCGTAATTTGCCGCCTAGAACCCTGAATCGGGCTCTTCAACAGACTCTCTTCTCCTAAAGTAAACAAGTACTTTTATTTGCATGCATGAACCAGCAACACTTTGGTCCACATTCATTTAAAAATAAAGGTTCTAAAAGAGGACTTTCACAGTGATGACATAGAAGAACTATTTTGGGTTTAGAAGAACACTGAAGAACATTTTGTGAAATGGAAATTATGTTAAAGGTTCTTCATGGAACTATTGATGCCAATAAAGAACCTTTATTTTTAAGGGTGTAAGTCATTCTGAGCAGTATAAGTGTTAAGTTTCCACTAACAGTTTCTACTAACTGACTAAATAGTGGGTGAGAAAGTCGCTGATGATTTATTCAAACTGTGTTTGCCGTCAGCGTACTGGCTTTCCAACCCCCTTTCATGGGCCAGAATGAGCCCCCCTTTAAACACAAAGGTGGTATCTCCTCAGGGAGCTGCCTCATCTAGTTATCAAATGACGCCCAGCCTGTCGGCGGTAAGCCACTGGTAAGACTATAGTAGCTGCATCTCTGCATTAGGTGATGGGGGTTGGAGAAGGAAAGGAGGGGGGAATCCAAGAGAGCATGCTCAGTCCTGAGAGACAGGCTACTGGAGCACACATGTACCTTCCCTGTGAAGGATACACACTCTCATGAGCTTTCTACTCTTTTATGAACACCCCATGTGAAGATATGAACAAGGAGATGTTGGTGATTTGATAAAACTGGTGTGAGGATTCACTTTTGGACCTTGAACAGATTTGTACAAGGGATGCATTAAGGAAGTTCTGCTTTTGGGGTGCACTTTGACACAATGGCTCAGTTTTACAGCTGCTTTGGGGACAAAAAGTAAGTTGGAGCCTTTTGTTTATGCAAAAACGTAATTTAAAATGATTTCTGTTATAGTTCTAAAATGGTTTCAGCAATGTGGTTAACATGCTTGAGGTTGCATTTTAGTGGCTTGTTGTTGTTTATTAGCGGAGCACTGGTGAAAATGGTCGTTTTGATATGTACTTTCACATTCAAAAGCTGTCACTGGGGCAGTACTTTTTCAAAAGGTACTAAAATGTACCATTTAGGTACAAATATGAACCTTTAAGGTACTAAAATGCACCTTTAGGGGTAAAAGGGAACTGTCCCATTGACCGATTTTGTACCTTTTTTTCTGAGTGTTGAGTACATACTTTAGTTGAAGTCTTTTGTACTGTAGGTTTATGTTGTGCTTTCTGTGAATGCGCTGTAATAGCTGAGCTCTTTCAATTCGAGTCTCTTTAAAAGCTCTTCTATCTAATGGTCTCATGACATGTCCAACAAGACCCTACTCTTCACCACTGGTTGGTATTCCAAGGCCGCTGAGAGAACGTGTTGTTTACCATTGGGTTTCGTCCAGATTCTTTGCAAGTTTAGAAAAAAGACTGTTTTGTTTATCATTTCTTTTCTCAGAATTTGCCTTTATTGTTTATTCTCCTAGTCCAGCCCCCCAGAGACAAGATGCATGTACAAAAAGAGAGTTTGGACTATTGGAACATAATGTTCCTCATTCAGGTATAAATGTAAAATAAAATGTGCCTTTACAAAGAGACTAAAAACAAAAGGTTTGGACGGGAACCAGCTTCATCCTTACATTCTGACCTACCTCCATTTTTCACACCATTTATGGTCCTTGCGCTCCTGTGAGAGTGCTGCTTTGTTTGTATCTACACAGTGAATCTATTTGGCAAGAAACTTGAGCCATCCCATGAAATAAGAGTCCAAATTTTGACCTCTACGTTTTCTCTGAGCTTGTTGATGTTGAGCTCAAACTCTTCCTAGTTTCTCATCATCTTCTGCAGTTGACGAGGTTGCTGTTTTTAGCAGGATTCTGCTATCTTTTAAGACATGTATTCTCAAAGGAGTCTCAAGTCAGTGAGAGACTGTTTTATTAAAGTGTGAGTTATTTGCATATTGTGGAGAGTGGGGTGAGATGTGTCAGTGCGTCAACTTTATTTGAAACTCTTTTCTAATCCTGAAATATAATTATGCATTTTAGCTTTCCCTTTCTTTTTAGGTAAAGGTGGCATATCTTACCCCACTCGCCTTTAATCTGTAAAAATGTTTCTGCTTTGATTTACTCATGGATTCTCTAATAATGAATCATCCGGTATCAGATAGCCAGAATGCTCTGCTCTTTCTCCACTGCTTCAGCCACAGCTAAAAGAGTTTTGTACATTGTGGTTAAAGTTCAGAAGAACCACAGAAGTACAGATGGTTTTGTAGTACGTCTGGATTTATGCAATATTTTATAGAAAATTCAGGGCTCGATAAATGTTCTGTGTCTGTAATCGTAGGGTACTTTAAATATACAGCTGTGCAGTTTTATTCACAAAAAGCTCCCACATTTTGTGTAAGATATAAAGTCTAAGGCTACGTTTAAACGACAATGATCGTCTTGAAAAGTTTTTCCCTTGCGTTTTTAAAAAGTTTTACGTATCCACGACAACTTTTTCAAAATGATTTGCATTTACACATATCTGTGAAAACGGCCAAAAACGCTGTATTATATATGCCAGGCCAGTAGTTGGCGCTGTCACCTTGCTAGTAAATGGTACCTGTAGAGAAGTGGCGATTATATGTTGTATATGATGCATCTCCGCTGTTGGTTGTAATATTGGTGAAGTAAATCCACACTTTGCTGAAGAAGCGTTAGCAAACTCTTGAGCAGCAACAACAGTACCATGTACTCCGCCATTGTTGTGTATGTTGTTCACGCTTGCCTTTAAAATCGACACATACTGCGTATGTCTACATACCTAACACGTACTACGCACTTACGCTCATGACGTCACCGTTTTCAAAGATTCCCATTTTCGGTGTTTACACGGAAACGATAACGGTACCGTTTTCAAAAACTTGCACTTTGAAACCAGTTTTCAGTCCCCAAAACGACGTTGTCGTGTAAACGAACAGGCAAAACGCATAAAAAGTTTCCCATTTTTGGCTGAAAACGTTGTCGTGTAAACGGCCCCTGAGTAACTTCACTGTTGTGCATTATAAAAATGTGTACAACTTCCTATTTTGGATGCGTAATGTGATTCCCAAAGGTTAATTTCCTATTCATGAGGAACTATATATAATTTAAAACCACAAATTTAGCTAGATGTTAGAATCTAACCAAAATAACTTGCTTATCAGTTCTATTATGAAGGTGTGGTGGCTGTTTAAATGCTAAATTGCATGGTAAATGAACATCCAGAAAGTCACAGAAGATTGCTTTCATTTTGGTACTGTCTCACATAACAAAACCAGCAAGCAATAGAATTAGACCTCATTGTTAAGGGAGCCATATTATGTCCAGTAAAGGTTTTAGGATGTTCTTTCACTTCAAATATAATTTAGGGAATGAGATGGGGATGGTCACCACTTTAGCTAATGTTGTCAACTAATTGAGCCGAATGGTGACTGCAGCTGGTTTAATAAACTCATTATAGCGTAGTTTACTCCAGGTCCCTCGGCCTAAAGAATGTGCAGAGTAAAACTTCTAATAATGCATCCAAACATTCACTTAGAAAACTGTTAGTTTAACTTGTAAAAATATTTTCACAATATTATTTTTGACAAAATAAATGCTGTCTTAGTCAGAGACTTTTACTGACCCCGAACGGTAGAATTAGTATGAAAGAACAACTTAAATAGACACTCGTTTGCCACTTTATTACTTGATGTGCCCTTTTGGCAAGCTGCACTGGTTCACAGTGGACCACAGGGCCTGTGACATAATGAACAGACTCTCTGCCTTATTTACATTCTCGCCAGATATGTCGTCCACTTCAACTAATGTCTGGAGAAAGCACGGCTGTCCTTTCACCCTGAGAAGAGAACATCATTTTGACATTTTCTGAGGTACTCGGCAGATAGTGTGACTTGAGGGAGTCCATCACTACATTAAAGTCATTGTTGATGTGTGGTTCCCCATCGAGGCCTGTGGAGAAGCTCAGGTCTAATGCAGCATTGCATAAGATGACTCTGATTGTCAGGATGTTGCATGATGAGGGTTGGCACTCTAATAACTAATCATCATTTTGGTTGTAACTTACAGTTAATCTTAACATATCTTATGACTGCACCAATAGATGCTTATATGTTGACTCATGTAATCTTTATACTGTTTTACTCGGTGTGACCATAGATAGCTGACGATATATATATGGGTGATTCTATAATTGGAAATATATTTGGCATTGCAGAGAGTTAAGAAAAAAAACTTTTCACTAACAGATTTTTTTTTTTTCAGTATCTTATTGAAAACATATTTAATTTTAATAATTCAGTGCTTGCCAAACACAAGTTACTTCCTTTTTTTTTACTTTTAATGAAAAAACAGATGTCTTTATGGTATTGTTTGTCAACTCTGTTACGGACAAATTAGCCAATGTGTAGAAATAACAATAATTCATAACATGAAAAATCCTTCTTGTTTCATTAGACAAACAGTCCTTACATTCCATCACTTGAAACAGATAATATTTCACCTATGCATACCTTTAAAATAAAAAAAATACCTATGTCTTCACAGAACCGTCCACTTGGATCAAATATTTTTCATCTGAAAATGTATTATATACAATATCCAGTTAAAAAAAGAAATGTTGTTGAAATATTATAAGTTTTGCAAAAATAAATCAATAGTGATGATAAAGACATTTATAATGTTACAAAAGATTTCTATTTCAGATAAATGTTGCTTTGAAATCACAGGAATAAATTACATTTTAAAATATATTCAAATAGAAAGTTATTTTAAATAATACAAATATTTCAAAATTTTACTGTTTTGCTGTACTTTGGATCAAACAAATGCAGGCTTGGTGAGCAGAAGAGACTTCTTTAAAAAAACATTAAAAATCTTACGGTTCAAAAACTTTTGACTCGTAGTGTATATGTATTTAAAATATATTTAATACACCAATTTAATATTAAAATTATGAAAAAGTTGTTTGAATCAACGATTCAACCACTCACTCATAAACCTACTGGATGAATCAGCGTTTTTGAACGATTCTCTTGAATAAATGATTCATTCAATTATACATTTTTAAGTCACTTTGCAATGCAATCGACACGAACATTATGTGGCAGTTACTTTCAATTGCGGATTTGCTCTATTTTGGTCGCGCTACCATAGACATCAATGTTTGTATCTGAATTATAAACTTTCATCCCAGTATTTCTGTGATAATATGAAAATCCTTCTTGTTTCATTAGACAAACAGTCCTTACATTCCATCACTTGAAACAGATAATATTTCACCTATGCATACCTTTAAATTAAAAAAAATACCTATGTCTTCACAGAACCGTCCACTTGGATCAAATATTTTTCATCTGAAAATGTATTATATACAATATCCAGTTAAAAAAAGAAATGTTGTTGAAATATTATAAGTTTTGCAAAAATAAATCAATAATGTTTAAACAGCAATGTTATTGTTTTTTTGTGAAAATCGATCATTAACAGAGTTGACCCTTTAAGTAACAGAATTGTAAAGTAACAGAATTGACAATTGTCCGATGGACTGTCAATTCTGTTACCTCATTGTCAGCATTGTTACTCTGCCTTGGTAACAGAGTTTGACAGTAACAGAATTGACGATTTTCTTTATTTTTTGCCAAAAACTCCACTTGCTAGCATAAATGCTAAAAGCACATGGCACTAATGAAATCATGATTAAAAGACTTTTAAATAACACAAAGTGTGATCAATGAAAAAATCTGTTTTCCTTTTGATATTGTGGTAACAGATTTGACACTTTATAAAATAACTATTGGTGTAAGAACTTTTAGATTGAAATATTTTCTTAGAGAGAGCACATAGACTTTTCAGTGCTTCAGATCTTAACAGTGAGGGAAAGTGACTTCATTTCCTGTATCTTACATAGTTGTGGGAGATGATTCCACTCATTTAAAGGCAAAGTATGGTACGGTAACAGAGTTGACGCAAGATTTAAGGAGATTTTCTCCCACGATTCTGAACTAAACTAAATAATGTGTGGCAAAATATTATTGCTGCAGTCTATTTAAAAGTGTTTAATTAATTTGAATGAAGTATTAAACATTTTAATATACACTACCAGTCAAAAGATTTTGAACCGTAAGATTTTTTATGTTTTTTAAAGAATTCTCTTATGCTCACCAAGCCTGCATTTATTTGATACAAAATACAGCAAAAACGGTAATACTGTGAAATAATTTGACATGACGTGACATGTGGCCAAGTATGGTGACCCATACTTGGAATTAGTGCTCTGCATTTAACCCATCCAAAGTGCACACACACAGCAGTGAACACCCGGAGCAGTGGGCAGCCATTTATGCTGCGGCGCCCGGGGAGCAGTTGGGGGTTCGGTGCCTTGCTCAAGGGCACCTCAGTCGTGGTATTGAAGGTGGGAGAGAGCGCTGTACATTCACTCCCCCCACCTACAATCCCTGCCGGTATGAGACTCGAACCCGCAACCTTTGGGTTACAAGTCCGACTCTCTAACCATTAGGCCACGACTTCCCCTATATTGAATATATTTTAAAAAAGTAATTTATTCCTTGGTGAGCAGAAGAGACTTCTTTAAAAAAACATTAAAAATCTTACGGTTCAAAAACTTTTGACTCGTAGTGTATATGTATTTAAAATATATTTAATACACCAATTTAATATTAAAATTATGAAAAAGTTGTTTGAATCAACGATTCAACCACTCACTCATAAACCTACTGGATGAATCAGCGTTTTTGAACGATTCTCTTGAATAAATGATTCATTCAATTATACATTTTTAAGTCACTTTGCAATGCAATCGACACGAACATTATGTGGCAGTTACTTTCAATTGCGGATTTGCTCTATTTTGGTCGCGCTACCATAGACATCAATGTTTGTATCTGAATTATAAACTTTCATCCCAGTATTTCTGTGATAATATGAATGACTGTACGAAAGAAATAATACTGTGTAGTTGAAAAGACTGTTTGTGAAGCTGTTTCTTAACCAAACATGGTAACTGCTCTGTGTGTCAGCGGCAGTGCGAACACATTTGAATGATCCGGTAAGACTTTGTCAAAGGTTTAATAGACACGGGAGAATCGTTGTCTTTTAGAAATGAGATTGTGTGGTTGTCTGAATCGAGATCGCGATCTTTTAACGATTACCATTAATAACCATTTGAAATAAACAGAAAAAAAATAATGACTTCGGACACCAAATGTACCTGCAATTATAGAATCACTCATATATATATATATATATATATATATATATATTTAATAGCATTTAATTATATAGTTTAATAGAACAATGTAATAGCAAATAATATGCACACAAAATTAGTGCTAAATTGGTTATGGTAAATGGTTATTGGATTTTATTTTAGTTTTTTTTTATCAGGTTGATATTAAATTTTTTATTTTCCGTGTGTTTACCTTTGTTAATATTACCTAAGATAATAATTTCCCTTTAATTCACTTCCCAAACTAACACTTAACATAATAATTTCACTTAATGTAATCTTTAGCGAGTCTCAAAATGAAAAATTTTCTTATTGTACATTAAAATGCTGTGATGCCTACATTCACTTGTAGTATTAAGTGTTTTATTTTTAATATATTTATTCAAAATAGTGTGGAAATGGACTATCATTATAGGCCAGAACTAATATTGATGTATCCCATCACAAAATTTCATAATTTTACACTTATTTTACAATATTTTTGCTAAATTCACTAAAAACAGAAAATTAGTGATTATTCTTCACCCTTACCTGCTGTCGTAAATTACACTGTGCATTTAAAGTCCTTTTTTGTTTAATGAAAGCACGTTTAGCATAAATGTATTACAGTCTCCTGTTTGATAACTCCCTAAAGCTTTTCATTTTTGGTTTGTTCTCTAAAAACACAATGTTTGAAGCTAACACGGCTAGCATGCTTGCTAATATCTTCTGCTTGAACACTTTCTCCACTAACTCTTACTCTTTCTTTCTCTCTCTCTCTCTCTTTTTTCCTCCCTTCCTCCCCACGCCCAAAAGTTAAGACATGAAACGTCGGACGTCATCGCAGAACTCTGGCATTGGAGGCAGTCCAAGGTCAGTCCATTAGTCCCTGTAGAGCTCTGAATGGCCTCTCTGCTATCATAGTCACGCACTGGGTAATGATAAGAAGACACTTTTTAGTCAGAAGAGGCTCTGGGAAAGGGGTCAATTTGGTTTGCTTGATATGCTGTTTAGCAATAGCTCACATAAAATGTAAATTCTGTCATCGTTTACTCATCCTTATGTCATTCCAAACCATGTATGACTTTCTTTCATCCTTGGAAGGCAAAATGCTTTGCATCCAGGCTGCGCTTGCTTCTCTGCTGATCCACACTGCTGAGCTCCTAAAATGGAGTCATGAAAGTATTATAGAAGCAGTCAATGTAAATGGGAAAACTATACTACAAGTTTTCAGAATTAAAACCATAGTTTAATGTATGGAGCAAATTGAAATGAAAGTCATTACAAGCTAAATATCTGCCACTGCTCTCAGATGTCTTTAAATGTGGTGGGTAAATGTGCATTTTGGCAAAACCTTGTGAGCAAAAAAGGTCAGTTGTCTATTGTCCATAGTGATGCATGAAGCACAGTTCATACAGAAATCACTTTTAAACCAAGCAGCTTTCTGTTGTTTAATGCAGGGAATCTGCATAACCATTTTGAGCCTGTTGTGAAACCTGCTTAGGGAAATTATTCGCTCTCACATGATTTTCCTAATCGTGTGGATTCCCATTGAAATGACTGGACTTGCCTGCAAAAATTCACCAATTCAGTTCTTACAATATACTTAAAGATGAAGTGTGTAATGTATGTGTCAGTAGCGCCACCATGCATAAATGCAAAAAGATTTGCTGTGTCCAAAATCGAATACTTCCCTACTATATAATATGAAAAAAACAGTATGCCAAAAGAGTAGTATGTCCGAATTCATAGTATTCGAAAAACAGCAGGCGAAAAGTACACGGATGACATACTACTTCCACCTGGATTCTGAAGTGCACAGTTGATGGATGCTTTACTATCCCATGAGGCCACGGGAGCGGATTTGTGAATGGCAGTGAAGCGACTCAACTGACTCTGGTATGTCAAGTGATAGAAACAACATGGTGGACATAGTACGTCCGAATATCATTCATACTACTTATATTCATACTATATAGAACATACTTTTATAACGGTCGCAAAGTAAGCTCAAAGTCAAATGTAGTACCTACTCAGTACGCGACTTTGGACGCAACGACAGCAGGTTTTCTAAACAAGTAACCTTTCTACCATTGGCCAGACAAACAGAGAGTCCCGCCCCAAATGCACGCTATTGGTTGAGTCAGTGTTGCTGACAAACAGAGCAATGGTTTGATAGCAAATGTGTTTACACTTTTCTGGGGAATCGGCCTACAGATGGCTTACAAATAGTTGAAATTGCACTTGGACTTCAATTTGAAATTGAAATTGGACTTGCCAGTTCAGTTACTTGTAAAATATCGAATGAGTGGCAGAACTCTCTTGATAATGCAGCATGTTTACTTCTTTAGAGACTTTCACAAACTAAAAGTAACCAAAGTACCTTGGATTGTACTATTCTTTGCAGACCAGTACAGTATAGTAACAATTCACTTCCAACGTATGACTGTACCATGGTACTGCCACAGTACTTTGCTGTAAGGGTTGTTTTCTTTGTGACCTAAAACTGTCTGTGAAGGAGAGGTGTAGACACAAGACCAGCTGTCTGAACAATCCCAGGTGGTCCTTCATCTAGTGCTTGACACAGGTCACACAATGCTGACCTGAAAGGGGTCAAAGAGTTTCTGGAATTTGAAAAAAAATAACAGCAAAGATATATTGTGCTTTCTCAAACAAAATTACAATCCTTTGTGGGAAAATAAGGGGGAAAAAACGGCCTGAAACAATCATTTAAACACCCAGATGTATCAAAGGAGACAGAGAGATGGTGTCACATACAGCTGTCTGAACAATCCCAGGTGGTCCTTCATCTAGTGCTTGACACAGGTCACACAATGCTGACCTGAAAGGGGTCAAAGAGTTTCTGGAATTTGAAAAAAAATAACAGCAAAGATATATTGTGCTTTCTCAAACAAAATTACAATCCTTTGTGGGAAAATAAGGGGGGGAAAACGGCCTGAAACAATCATTTAAACACCCAGATGTATCAAAGGAGACAGAGAGATGGTGTCACATGACTCGCATTACTTTCATAATCGCACCCTTAGGAAATAACTGCACAAAATGACCCTATGTATGAGTGTATGCATTTATCATTCCTCTGAATATCCTCATCATCATTAGTGCTTTTATGGTGTGTGTGTGTGTGTGTGTGTGTGTGTGTGTGTTTATGCTTTAGCCGTGACTGTTCTTTGTATCTGTGGTTTTTCTTGTCTCATTCTTTCATATGCCAAATCTGTGAATCACTCGTCTGTGAATCTGTGAAGCAGACTTTATATCCCCTTCCCCTGAGAGGAACAGAGGAAATGAATGAGTGCTATCTGATGACATCGAGTACGGGTCATCCATGTGCTCTGATGTCACACCAGCCCCTCTAACCTCTGAAACAAATCTGCACAACGCTGTTAAGCACCAGTGTGTAAGAAAGTGCAAATCTAGTCTCTGTTATGCAGTGTAGGACAGATAGCACTTGCATGAAATGGTAAGGAGGATTGTTTCTCATTAGTTGACTGTTGTTATCTGCTCTCATGTGATGTTCAGCACGCAGTTCAGCTCAAACAAGAATGGTCTCAGTCCGCTGAATAGGCTTTGTGTGCAAACTGCAAGGAAAGAAATGGGATGAGTGCTTGCCTCTGCAGAACCAGGTGTTGCTATGCAGATTGTTAAGGTGTTCTGAGTCTGGTTTTAGTACGTGGTTTCTAGGGTGCTGTGGATGGTTTCTGGGAAGCGTTGCTAACTTGCACAAGTCGAATGAGCCCAGCAGTCAGTAAAGCCCGACCGATATATATCGTTTTGCCGATATTATCGGCCGATATGAGCCTGTCGCCGATATGAATTTTTTTTTTTACAGAACACATAACGCAGATAAAATGCTTGAAATGGTATAATTACTTAGTTTGTCCAGCAGAGCGCTCCATTGTTTGCTACTGGCGACCTGTATGAAATGCTTTAAAGCTTAATTCTTGAAAACCATTGAAACTTTGAACGGCCATATCTTGAGGAACCCTCTCGAATGCGAATCGAGTGTACGTCTAGAGGAAAGCCCGACCGATATATATCGTTTTGCCGATATTATCGGCCGATATGAGCCTGTCGCCGATATGAATTTTGGTTAAATTTGCGGTCTGGTGCCGACCGATCAAGCAATCCCGGGGGGCTACCGACGCGCGGAGGGTGGCGTTCGAGAGGGCTTCTCGAGCTGAAGGTATCCCCCGAGTTTGGTGGAGATCCGCCGGTGCGTTCGTGAGATAGACACCAATCAACACTTTCGCTTCAGTAAGGAGGTCTCTTGTTCAGGCAGCAGCATTCAAGCGTTGTCTTATTCGACCGTAAGTGCCCTGCTAAGTGGAGTTCACATGAAATTCCTCCATGATTCCAGTTCCAAGGGAACGTACACGTTACATTCAAAGGGCATTAAAGTGCGCGAGACATGAATTTATTTTGTATTTATTCACAGAGGTATATTATGTCACACTTCACACTTCTCTAGTAAGTTTCGTCTGTGTGTGAAGACAGTAGCGCAAATCCGTGAATGAATGTTCCGAAGTGAAATAAACTACAACGGAATAAAGTTGAATGCAATTGAATTTAATTAAAGTTGAATAAACTTCAACTTTACTGTTCAGTGCACTGATTTGACTCATTTTGGATAATAAAGTTTATTGTTAAATTGTTAAATGCCCTGCCTCCATTACGATCTCTGTCACGTCATTATAAGTGTTTGATCACCACATTTGAGTGATCATTGCAAAAAATGTGTTTATGTATACATATTCTGTTTATGTATATACTGTATTCTATATATAGTACCAGTCAAATGTTGACACACGAATGGGAAAATGTCCCAACTTTTGACTGGTACTGTACTATAATATACACAAAGAATATCGGCCGATATATCGATATCGGCCTTTTTTACTCCCTAATAGCGGTGTCGGTATCGGCGCCAAAAAACCCATATCGGTCGGGCTCTAGTCATAAGTCTATAATGTTATGGTCGCTAGATACACTGCCATACAAACGTTTGATGTCGGTGAACTCACCAAGGTTGCATTTGTTTGATCAAAAATACCAAATCCTGTGATTCAAAGCTGAATGTTCAGCATCATTTCTCCAGTCTTTAGTGTCACGTGATCCTTCAGAAATCATTCTTATTTGCTGATTTGCTGTACAAGAAACATTTCTTATTGTTATCAATGTTGAAAACAGTTGTGCTGCCTAATATTTTTTTGTGGAAAAATAACCAGAAGAAGAAGAGACCAAGAGAATGTTGATTGTGCTTGAATTGTGAAATAGCCTCTTTTTGCATTGCTGTTGGTTATGAATATGAATGATATTTGGCTCAGCTGCTCTGTGTCTTTGTTAAACAATGTTTGGCAGACTTGTTTTAAGCCAGATAGAAATCACTGATGACTTGAGTTTTACTAATTTTGCTCTTCTGGATGTACTTTAGTACATTGTTCTCTAACCCTGTGGAGTTTTCAGTAGAAAATAATTTGGGATTTTGGGATTTTCCTCCATTGTTATGTTGTTGAAAGAATGTAGCAGAATGTTACCCTCATAGGAAGTGGATGGTGGGATGAGTAGAGTACAGGAAAGGGTACAAGTGAGGGTGGGAGTGATGACAGAATGCCATATGTGTTGCTTACATGAGTGTAGGGATTAATAGATGGATGAGTCTCAATAAATACTTATACAACCCATGTGCAATAATTCGTGCCACAGCTAAATTAGGACAATGCATGGTTATTTTAATGAAACTGAAACTATGTGGCATGCAATATATAAAAAAAATCCTTTCTGTGGAGAAAATTAAAATGATAGGCTTTGAAAATGACTTGATTTAGGTCATTGTAATAGTTGCTAGAAGTGAACCAGTCAAACAATCATGAGGATTATTTTAAACTGGAATAATCCTTGTCAAACTAGACTGCAAATTGCCTCCACATCCTGTCTGGCCATTCCTCCGGCCTGGAACTGCAGTTGTCTGTCATAGATACTGTTTGAGAGTTTCCTCCTTGAGAGCTGGAGTTGTTCCAGAGGAGAGTCTGATCCAGGATTAGGCTGTTTGTTACTCATCAGGACAAATGCTGAGGCCTCAGCTGGTCTGGGCTGCTAGTATCAGCAGGTCTGCTACTTCAGATACAGTGGATCCACTGGAGTGACTCGGCTCCAGTGTTGTAATCTAAATGAGTCTGCATTGGCTTATCACCAACACCTCCTGTTCGTCCTTGGGTGTTACAAACCCTCTGACAGGGGTGTGGACACGCTCTCATGAAGGACAATATAGACAAACATACTTTATAAGGCAGACCTAAACAGTCTCTGTTCATTATTTTTGTTATTATTTATATTGTATATTATATTGTTAAATATATTTATATTTTGTTATTATTTATATTATTTTCTGTTTATTATTAAGATTCATTATTTCAATTATTTCAATTATTTGACATTTAATAATAGCTAAGAGCTTGCTGTGAAGTCATGGTGGAAAACATCGGAGATCAGTGGATCTAAAACTTCCAACAATTCTTATTTAAATGCTTTAAAAAACACTAAAAATAAAGATGTACAACATTAAAATGACATTACATTTTTCAGTTTATTTATTTGTGTTACAACAGAAATAGCAGAGGTGCATTTAAGAATAAGAATTAGGGCTGCACGATAAATCGCATGCGAACCACGTTCATATTCGCGCAATTTTTTGCGCAGCTCGTCAGTGAACAACGGCTCTGTGTAGTTAATGCTGCTCCATGTGAAAGCCCGCAGGTGATGGAGATTTACCGCCGATTACAGAACCGGCTTTCTGACAAGATGCGCATTAAATATCGCATGCGATTTATCGTGCAGCCCTAATAAGAATAAAGAAAAACTGAATAAATCAAAAGAGAAAAGAAAGTAGATTAATAAATGTTAGTTTTATGATCTTCTAAGTAAAGGTTCCAGTTAGAACCAAAGTGCTGTCAATAAGTATTATACATTAAAGAACAATATAGCCAACTCAAGATGCCTAATAAAGTGAGAAATTAACCCAGAAAGGTACTTCAAAGAACAAGTGACACATCAAATGCTTTTATTTAAAGCAATTGTTCACCTAAAGGCTGTCATCATTTACTCACTCTCATGTCTTTCCACTCCCAGAGAAGAAGAAATTTAACCAAATGAGGAAAATGAATGGGGTCTGATGCTGTTTACTTTCAAAAAATCACCATAAAAGATCTATAATCGAATATGGCATATCAAGACATTTCATTTTGTGTTATCAATCAAACAATGTTCTGGTCTGGTTGCCACACAAAGAACTTTTGCAGCTCAGCTAAATTTTCTGTTAAGGTGTAGTCACATTCATTTTGCCGGTAAAAAAAGTCTATTGTCAATTGTCAATAGTGTTGCGATGTGTAAAGCAAATGCTCTCACCGAAGTCAAAGTTTTGAACCAAGCAGCTTTCTAGATTCCTGTTGAATTGCTGGATTTTGGTTGCAACGATTCTCCGAGCAGTGGTAGGCTTTCTAAACTGTGACTGCGCCTTACACAAAAGAAAGAAGGCGATGTTGGTTTCATGAAAATGAAAAAAATAAATAAGTCAGAAGTTTTACATGTGTAGGTTATGAGATCGATTTTTTCATTCTAGCTCACAACTACAAATGTGAGGTTTTGTGAAATGTTTCTCGTTTTTCAGTATAACTGTTCAGGAATTATTTATCTGACAAACTTTTTTTTTTTTTTCGTCTCAACAGTGATTGTGACATCATGGCCTCGGGATCTCCAGACGTCACAGTCTCTACTGAACCATCAGAAGCTGCAGAAGAGTGTTCAGGTAACGTTCAAGTCCCATTCAGTGTTTTAGCATCCGTGTGAACAATGAGAACGTCCATCTCACTCCGTCATACATTTTTCCCCACATAGAGATCAGACATGAAGTATTAGGACATTCTGAACTCAATGAAGAGGTACAAGAGGCTAGATCTCACTGACAGGAAGTCATGTAGCACACAGACAAAGCCAACATTTGTCTCTCCCATGCGAGCATGCTTTCCGCCGTCCAACATTTGACCTTTCTCTCCAGTTTAGTGTGGGAAGGAGGAAACCCAGACTGCTAGAGTCAGATCCTGCAGCACAGACGGCAAGCCTGAGTGATGATGTGGATTAGCCATTTCCTCACAAAATAGGGTGCACGCAGAGCCCCGATAATCTCCTCGATCGGATTGTGGGTCTATCTAAGTCCATTAAGTTCAAGAGTTAGTCAGTGGCCAGGGTGTGTTTGGGAGGTGTTAATCTTGAACAGATTTACCACAGGATGTTGATAATTGATCCATGACCAGAGTCACATTCATTAAATTCATGGCTGTTACCTTAAAAAAGAGTGAAAGGATCCAAATATAGTTGGCATGAATGGAGCTATTTTTTTAAAGAGTGTCAGCTATAAGGATTTCTACTTTCGACGACTTCTGAATCTGAATATTCTACTTTTAAATCAGTCTTTTAAAAAAAAACTGATTCATTCAATGATTAATTCAGTAACCCTTCCTGTAGCCTGCATTATTAAACATTTTAAGCATATATTTTATTGTTGATTTAAAAAAATAGTCTCTAGATTTTAGTAATGATTCAAATCTTCTGAATCATTTCACCAAAAAAGCTCATTTAGATTAATTTAATGATTCATTCGGTAACCTTTCCGGTACGCTACATTATTACACACTTTTAAAGTATTTTCAGAATTGCTGATTCAAAAACAGGCTAGATTGTTACTTCTGACTCAAATATTCTGAATCAGTTCACCAAAAATGCTCATTCACATTCATTCATGAATTCGTTTAATAACCTTTCTTGTGGGCTGCTATTACACTCTTTGAAATGATTTTTGTAATTGCTTATTCAAAAATAGAAGCTAGATTTTTACTACTAGCTCAACCTTCTGAATCAGTTCCACCAAGAAGCTCATTCAGATTCGTTCACTAAACCTTCCTGTATGCTACATTAGAGTTTGCAGATTTTATATTGCACTTTGATTGTTTTTAAATGTTCGTCCAAAGTTACAAGCTAATTGATGGAACATTGATTCAAGTCATCTGAATCAGATTCAGATTCGTTCACTGTTCATGTAGGTTTCATGATTATGCCTTTAATTGTGGTGGTCGTCTGTATTTTTTTCACATTTATAAACTCCCATAGACTCCAGTGTAAGTGCGTTAGGTTCATGTATCTTAAATAAGTTAATCTAACAATAATATGTCCTTTAAAGCCTGCATTGTAAGGCTGTTTACTCATGCTGCAGTCAGTCGTTGAAGGTAGCGCTCACGTCTCTCTGCTACAAGGGAGAGGCTTGAATGGAAAATATGAGTCATGGTTGTAAACGGGACTGTATTGTTCACTTAAAAGATTAATTCCGAAATACTTGGTTGGAATAGATGCAATGCAGACCCTGGGAAAAAGACATGATTTTCAAATATATTAAAAGTTCATTTTTAATTTGATACTAGTTTGAATTGTATTCAATTATTTATTTTGACAATGATAAAGTTGATTTATTGTAACTTTTACTGTGATTTACTAGCATAAACAATTTTATTGTACATCCCTGAAATAAAACCATGGCGTAAACAATGCAGACCTTTTCCCTAGGGCACTTAGTGTTTAATGTGGCTGCATTTAAACATACTGAGGCTCTGTTCTTAGAAGGCAATATTTAGCATCCCTCACTGTGTAATCAAATAACGGAGCATTGAGTGGTTTATAAGAGACAGTGAGATCTCTTTCTCTGTGTGTTGTTTACTGCCTTTAGACGGGCCCCAGCTGGAGACTGTAGGCTTTGCCAGTAGAGCTACATCATGTGACTCCCCTCAAGACAAGAGTGAGAGAGACTGGATGTCAGGCAGCAAGGGAAAACCAATGCACAAAGGCTGAAGTCATAATAGAGTCCTCAAAGACTGTATGGAGAGCAGTAAATTCACTCACCAAAGCTATGTTTTTATTTTCGAGCTACGTACCTAGATAGCATTTTAAAGGGGTCATATGATGCCATTTCAAGTTTTCCTTTCTCTTTGGAGTGTTGCAAGCTGTTCGTGAATAGAAAAGATCCCTAAAGTTGCAAAGACTAAAGTCTCAAACCCAAAGAGGTATTCTTTATAAAAGATAAGACTCATCCACGCCCTCCTAAAATGCCTCGTTTAACACGTCCCCACATGTCTACATCACTGTGTTGGAAGATTTGCATAACTCCACCCAAATGTTCACGCAAAGAAAGAAGGCGTAACTTTATTGTTGCCGCCGCCGCCATGTTGTGAAGATGCTGTGTGTTTCGTTGCAAAAGCGGAAAATACTTTGTTTGGCCTTCCAAAAGAGGACACAACTAGAAATCAGTGGTTAAGTTGTATTTACAACACTGTTCCAGAACAGTTCAACCCAAATATTCGTGTCCTGCTGACTAAGAGCATCGGCATCACAGTATGGTAAGGGGCGTAATATTTCCGTCACACGCTTAAGGTATTCGGCCAATCACAATGCACTGGATAGCTGGCTAATCAGAGCACACCTCGCTTTTCAGACCGATGAGCTTTTTAAAGATCTACGTGTTTCAGAAAGGCAGGGCATAGAGGAGAAACAATAATGCACAGTATGTGGAACCGCATAAACACATTTCAATACACCAAATACACAAAATAATGTTCTTTTTTAGCAACGTCATATGACCCCTTTAAGGGATCGCCTGCAAACATGATGACTGTTCAAAAAGTAAGGAAGCAAAAAAATACCTTTTTTGGTTGCATGTATCCTTCACTGAGAAGGTAATTCAAGAATGCATTGTGAAAAAAGAAAAACGTGGCAGACATAAAAAATTAATTAATACCAAACTTACACTGCAAAGGTGGCACAGAAGTGCTTCTGAAGTGCCATTTAGGTGTCTTTAAACAGACTGTTTAATGTTGCTCAAAGGTGGCATTAATGGATTTACACAACAATTTAACTGCATACCGTTATACTAGGGGCTGAGGAAGGTCAGAACAGGAATAATTTAGTCTGGTTTTCATGCTGCATTGCGTCTTTACTCAGATTTCCGAGCAGACTCAGAGCAGCTTTAACTTAGCTGTATAAAGATTCCTTTAAACTATTACTATTTAACTCGATATTTGTATTCTATTGCCAAATTTACACTGCAATAGTGGTACAGAAGTGCTTCTGAAGCGGCATTTAGGTGTCTTGACACAGACTGTTTAGTGCAGCTCAGAGGTGGCTTAAATGCATTTACAACTATACTTTGATTCTAGGGGCTGAGGTGGGTCAGAGCTGGCATAATTTAGTCTGGCTTTGATGCGGCATTGTGTCTTTACACTAAATTTTGAGCAGGCACAGAGCAGCCTGTGTAAAGACGCCTTATGATTTTTATGTTTATTAAGGCATTTTTACACCGCTGAGTTAAGGCTGCTCTGTGCCTGCTGAAAATTCTGTGTAAAGATGGAATGCCACATGAAAGCCTGACTAAATGATGCCAGCTCTGACCCATCTCAGCCCCTAGTATCAAAGTATATTGTTGTCATTGCTGTGTAAATGCATTTATGCCACCTCTGAGCAGTCACCTGAATGCCACTTCAGAAGCGCTTTGTCATTATGCCAAATGTACACTGCAAAGGTGGCACAGAAGCTCTTCTAAGGTGGCATTTAGGTGTCTTTAAACTGACTGTTTAATGCTGCTCAGAGGTGGCATGAATGCATTTACACAGCTAATATACAACTGTATGCTTTGATACTAGCGACTGAGGTGGGTCAGAGCAGGCTTAATTGAGTCTGGCTGTTATGCGACATTACACCTTTGCCCAGAATTTTGAGCAGGCACAGTGCAGCCTTAACTCGGCTGTGTAAAGATGCCTTCAGAGTATCATGTTGTTAGCCAAATTCTGTTGGATTGGAGGTGTGATTGGAATCAGTGGTTGTTAGGATAAATAGATCTGGGATGTTTAAAGGAGTCAAATAGAGGTAGGCTAGTGTTGTTTTTAAAAATCACCCCACGACAAGTGCAAGCCATCACTGAGAATTGTGAGAAAGAATGACTCTACTAGTAAAGGTCATCATCCCAGCATTGTTCACGCAGCTGTACTTCTTTAAAGACCACTGGCTTTTCCAGTAAAATGAAACTGACCTTTTAATGTTTGTTTTGGCTTTTTAAGCTTTTCTGGCTCTGAATAAAATGGGATGAATAAAATCAGTTGTAATCTAATTGTAAAAACTGGCTGAAATCCCCAACACTGCATCTAAGCTGTGCATTGCAGGTAATGTGTCATAGTCACATGCCATGATGCATGAAAAATACACGCCGAATTGGCATCTGTTTCTATTGACTGCTATACATAGAGGCGTCTGTATGATGAAAACAAGAATTTCATTGTATTCCGGTGAACTGTATCATTGATTACCTAAGAAATCACTTGATTTAACACTAAATGTTGCTTCATACAGGGGCTCAGTTGTGTATTCAACAGTATTGTTGTGTGAAATTATTCAATATTAAACCTCACTGGGCCTATTAACAAATGGTTTTTTAAAACAAAAGTAACAGAGGATCAATTATAAATCCATTTCAATAATACAATTAGGACTTGGCAACTAAAGATAAATTAGTGTCACATAAGCACCCAGGAGGGAATATTTATGAGTCTACAATGACATTTTGTTAAATAGGTATTATATAAATACATTTTAATAGATTTATTAAACCATTTAAAGGGGTGGTTGATCAGCTTTTTTCGAAGGCTTGATTGTGTTTATGGGGTGCAGTGTAACGTGTTCATGCTTCGTTTTTAAAAAAACACATTATTTTCACATATTTTAGCTTTATTCTACATTGCTGTTTCAATTTTTGTCAAAACGGTCTGTTGAGTTACTGGTTCTATGAAGCCCCTCCCTCAGAAACACGCAAGGGGCTCAGATTGGTTAGCTGGCCCAGTGTGTTGTGATTCGCTAACCGTCTAGTGCACGTTGTCTGGAATCGTCACGCCCCCTTCCCATTACGGGTAGTTGCATGTTCCCGGGGGCAGGGTTTATATAAACATCGGGGTTAGTGATGCCACAAACCCGGGAAGAAGATCGTTGTAGTCCCTACCAGCCTTTTTTTGTAGTCCTTAAACAGCGATTTCTCTCTTTGCATTGAACTTTGAGCATCGTAACCCCTTTAAGGATTTTTTTTTTACACCAAAAAGATCCACAGCCAACTAATCAGAAACCACCCGCTGTCTGAGATACTTAACCACAGTCAGTAGTACTTTATTATCTCACTTTATTATCTTGACCCCAATGCAGGTGGTATTTGCATAATAATTTACAATGTGATTGTTTAAATATGCTGTGTATATCATTTTTAAGACTTGAGGGCCAGCAAACATGATCGTCTGCCAGTTGAATTTATTTTGTTTAGATATGTGAAATGTTCAAAATGTGCTGTATGCAAGCCTCTCAAAATTCAAGATTCTCCTTTGAGATTCCTTCACATGTGGTACTCATTTAAATATGTTTCTGTTGTGTTTTTAATCCAGGGAAAAAGAAGTCCAAATTCCAGACGTTCAAGAATTTTTTTGTAAAGAAAAAAAGAAAGGAAAGTCCTGCACCTTCGAGTGAAAGTGGTTTGAAGGTCAGTCAATCGAGTGACGACGTCAACACCTCAGAGCCAACCATCAGCCACGCCAACAGTGATAATGACCGCGGGTGAGGGAATACAGATAAAATCAGCTTAACTTTTATTACTATACTGCATTTCTACTGTATATCTATTTTCATATTTTTTTCCCCATTTTCTCATGTGCCAGTATTACACTTTGACAATTACATATGACATAAACTTATCTCTCCTTCATTCAAAGATCCAAGATGAACTTGGGAAGCAAAGCCATGTCACATGATAGTGTCTTCGTGTCTGATTCGCTCTCATCAGAGACTAATGAGGGTCTGGGGGCGTCCCAGGACAGCATTCATGGGAAAGTGAAATCTCTACAGGTATTCCAGTCTGTTATGATTTATTCATATATTAATTATGTTTTATTCCCAGTGTAATATTCTGTAATAATAAAACCACTGGTGATGTGTTCTGAATGCAATTTGGGGGTCATATGGCAATTTTGTTTATTACTTAATATCATAAAAGCATATTTTGATTATCCTGTCCTACTCTGAGAGGTCTTGACTTTCAAAACTGCATTGAACAAATTAAAGTAAATGTTTATTGCTAAAAAAATGACAAAATCTGTTATTCAGAGATATTCAAAATGTCCCCAGTTCCAAACCCCACACTGGGGAAAAAATAAATAAATAAAGGGAAAAGATGTGGCAACAAGTTTCCAGACAGATTGCATCAAATTACAGTAAATGACAAAATGTTCACAAAATTACATGCAATATAATAATGCATTTATAAATAATTTAGATAATACATTTATAATTATTATTAATTATAATTATTTTATCATTTATTGTCACAATTAAATTGCACTATTACTGTTGATAATTCCTCCAGCAATGGAAAAAACGGTAATATATTTCAAAATACATTAAAAATGACTACCTTTCGGGTTAATCTCTATAAATGTAGGGTTTTTATTAGTTACTTCATTCTCAGTCTGTCTACTGTAATTTACTTTAAAATATAATTTTGATGTATAATAACTAGTGCTGTCAAACGATTAATCGCAATTAATCACATCCAAAATAAAAGTTTTTGTTTATATAATATGTGTGTACTGTGTATATTTATTATGTATAAATAAATACACACACACAGTATATATTTAGACATTTTTTACATGTATATGCATTTATACATTTATATTCTTATATTTTTTAAGCCTCATGTAATATTCAGTTTCACCTCCTGATGCTGAAAATCAACATTTTCTGAGGGTTAAGCATTTTCTTTTCACTGACAGTTTAAATAAAAGATGAAGACTTTCAGGTCTTTTGAGGTCAGGTTTTGTACCATTTTTATGGAAAGTGGCATCCATGTGCTCAAATGGAGTGTATAAGTATGCTTTCTTTCTTGTCCTCTTTCTTTAACGAGTATTAGTAATGACGCTGGACTTTGGTTTAAAATTAGCAAGTCTAAGCCTCAAGACACAGAGCCTGAGATTTTCACTGTTGACGTTTTGCCACCAGCCCAATCTAGACAGCAGGGATCCTTGTCAATGTCACTAATAGACAGAATAAAAACAAAACAAATAGCCTTAAATATGAATATGATGTACAGTAAGTTTATAAATATTAAGTGTATTTACATGAACAATAATATTTCAGTATTTAAAGTCGCCTCCAGATGCCCACAATGGCCTGCTTTCACAAATACGTTTGTCTCACTTTTGTCTTGGCATTGATTAAATGCTACTTAGCGTAGCCTTCTTGATGTGGTTAGCGTATTACCCATAGACATACCAGATAGGCACTTTGTCACTGATCCAGACATGAGAGCAGCTCAGCAATGAAAATTACCCGTTCATTAAGAGAGGAATCAGCCACTGTTTGAAAGAAGCAGATCACCTAAAAATATCTGAGACAAAGCAAGAATTTATCCGAAGTGTCTAAATGCATTGACTGGCTTTTAGTCCTGATTTAGAATTATTTTCCTTTTTATTAAAGTATAGTTAATTCAAAATGAAAATTCTGCCATTATACACTGCTATAAAAATTTGAGGGTCAGTGAGATTTTTTTTTTAAGTTATGAAAGAAGTTTCTTATACTCACCAAGGTTGCATTTGTTTGATCAAAAAACATTAATATTGTGATTTATTATTGCAATTTGAAATAACTGTTTTGTACTGTAATATATGTTCAAATGTAATTTATTCCTGTGAATCAAAGCTGAATTTTCAGCATCATTACTCCAGTCTTCAATGTCACACGATCCTTCAGAAATCATTGTAATATGCTGATTTGCTGCTCAAGATTTACTACTTTTTAACAATTTAATGCATCCTTGCTAAATAAAAGTGATCATTTCTTTTTTCTTAAGATCATACCGTGCCCAAACATTAGTGTTTACTTAGTCTCATGTCAACACATTAATGGACACTATAGCAGGCAGTAGTAGTAGTGTGATTAATCTGTTTGAAGTTATTGATAATTCACGTTTCTGTCCTGTCTGTAGCTGCAGTTGAAGCAGGCGATTCGTCTGGGCTCTCCGCCATCACTCCTCTGCGGGAGGAAAGAAGAGGACGCAGGGGCTCTTTCTGAAGATGATGGTCTTCCCTGTAGCCCCCCGGAGTATTCCAGCCTCCACACTGTGCTGGCCACACCTCCTCACACAGTACAACTCTCTACACTTTTCCTTTCACATCAGTTTAGGGTGCTTTCACACTTGGTTCGCTTGCCTGGTCCGAACCCGAGTTCGATTGCTCCCCCTGCCCCCCGCTGGGCTGCGTTCATATTATTTTATTTGGGTCCGAACCGCGGTTCGTTTGCGTCATCAAGCCAGCAGCTGTTTAGCTGTTTTACCCATTGCTTAGTAACGACGGCGCAGGAGAAGGTGGCAAATGCATAACATTGCTCTCTGCACTTTTATATATTTATGTTTTTGAACCGTTCGTTTTGTTTACAAAGCTTCGGTACATAACGGCACTTATGTCTGTTTTACGAATGTACTGCAAATGCTCTAAAAAATGCTGAAGGAGCACAGAAATTAGATATACAGCTCTCTGTTTGCAGCGCATCAGTCACGCTCATCAGGAAAGTGAGTGAAACAAACACACATTTTTATCAAATAATACGTCATTAATAGCGGTTCACTTCCGTGATTTGGTACGATTGCGTTCACATCAGCAGCGAACCGTACCCCAGACCACCCTATTTAAGCAGACTCGGGTACGTTTCGCGAGTGCGCACACAAGTTCGGAAGATACTGTGGGTGCACACCAAAAGTGCTAGTGTAAAAGCACCCTTAGACTCATGGATTTCTGTGGCACTGATATAGGCAAGGCAAGTTTATTTATATAGCACATTTCATACACAATGGTAATTCAAAGTGCTTTACATAAAAGGAATTAAAATAATCATAAAAAATAATCACAACAATAAAACAAGGAAATTAAAAACTTTTAAAAGAATCTAAAATTGATTTAAAATTAATTAAAACCGTTAAGAAAAAAAAAGCTTCGAAAATAATATAGCTTTGATTTGTAAAATGCACAGACAGCTGAAATGTGTCACACAAGCTTTTAAAATCAGACTGAAATGATCAGACACCTTGCTAAAAATAAACTTTTTAGTCGTTCAGTTCTAATGTTGAGATCCTTCAGAAGGATCTGCAGAGCTGTAGGTGCTACACACAAACAGAAACAGCACTAGGTTTGACAAATTTAAGGCCTTTCCACACTGAGCGCAAAAAAGCTAAACGAATATCGGACGCGCTGGAATAAAACAATAGATTTCTATGGAGGCTTCCACATAGACCGCGAACATTCGCGCACCGAAAATGCTAATGTTTTTTTTTTCGAACCAGTCTGACGAATCTTTTCAGTTTCACAAAGCAAAAACACAGGCCATCCAATAAGATTTGAACTAGGCTCACGTGACTGCAGCAGCTACTATATTTACTAGATATATTTTCTGTATGTGATTTGTATGCATCTCATGGTATTTTAATAGCAATGTTTATGACAAATATTAGCAGTGTAGCATTATTAAACATACAAAGAGTGCATGTGTCTGCTTTTTAATCAACTATAGATCACAATTGGAAGTTATTACAAGCACTCGATGGTTTAAAGTGGGTAAGCAAGTACATTAATAATTACATACATTTTCAAGTGTAGCTTGATGCTAATTGTACTTCTAATTATATTTTAGGATGTAGCCTATTCTTGTAAGCATCATAGATAGTTTGTTTCTGGTGTAGAACCTTGTTTCTCTTAAGTTAATGCTGTATATTGAGCAGCGGATGATGTTAAATCCATTTACGTCATACATATCTGAGGAAAAATGCATTGTTGGTCAGCGCCACCTAGTGTGCAGGCGTCAATTAGCAGAAAGTGAACAATCGGTTTATTTTTGGCTCTGTGAAAAGCGTGTAAGAGCCTCCGACATCACGGGGCATGATTGAAAACACAGGAAGCTCCCTGCTGAGTTCTATAACAGGATTAGGTGCCGTGCCGTTCCCCTCGCTGTACCTGCCTCCCCTCAGATCTCTCCAAAGATGTACACAGTCCCTGTCCTCACTTACCCTGAACTTGAGCACAGCGAGACCAAAGATGCTATTTAATTTTGAAAATATCATATAGTGGCAGTGAGTTTTGAGATTTTAGTCCATTTTATCAAACAAGTGAAAATTTATTTTTGGCAATCATATAACTGTGACGTGATTTGGTACGATTGCGTTCACATCAGCAGCGAACCGTACCCCAGACCATACCCCCTATTTAAGCAGACTCGGGTACGTTTCGCGAGTGCGCACACAAGTTCGGAAGACCGCGTTCACATCATCCAAACGAACCGAACTCTGACGTCAATCGAACGCGGGTGCACACCAAAAGTGCTAGTGTAAAAGCACCCTTAGACTCATGGATTTCTGTGGCACTGATATAGGCAAGGCAAGTTTATTTATATAGCACATTTCATACACAATGGTAATTCAAAGTGCTTTACATAAAAGGAATTAAAATAATCATAAATAATAATCACAACAATAAAACAAGGAAATTAAAAACTTTTAAAAGAATCTAAAATTGATTTAAAATTAATTAAAACCGTTAAGAAAAAAAAAGCTTCGAAAATAATATAGCTTTGATTTGTAAAATGCACAGACAGCTGAAATGTGTCACACAAGCTTTTAAAATCAGACTGAAATGATCAGACACCTTGCTAAAAATAAACTTTTTAGTCGTTCAGTTCTAATGTTGAGATCCTTCAGAAGGATCTGCAGAGCTGTAGGTGCTACACACAAACAGAAACAGCACTAGGTTTGACAAATTTAAGGCCTTTCCACACTGAGCGCAAAAAAGCTAAACGAATATCGGACGCGCTGGAATAAAACAATAGATTTCTATGGAGGCTTCCACATAGACCGCGAACATTCGCGCACCGAAAATGCTAATGTTTTTTTTTTCGAACCAGTCTGACGAATCTTTTCAGTTTCACAAAGCAAAAACACAGGCCATCCAATAAGATTTGAACTAGGCTCACGTGACCGCAGCAGCTACTATATTTACTAGATATATTTTCTGTATGTGATTTGTATGCATCTCATGGTATTTTAATAGCAATGTTTATGACAAATATTAGCAGTGTAGCATTATTAAACATACAAAGAGTGCATGTGTCTGCTTTTTAATCAACTATAGATCACAATTGGAAGTTATTACAAGCACTCGATGGTTTAAAGTGGGTAAGCAAGTACATTAATAATTACATACATTTTCAAGTGTAGCTTGATGCTAATTGTACTTCTAATTATATTTTAGGATGTAGCCTATTCTTGTAAGCATCATAGATAGTTTGTTTCTGGTGTAGAACCTTGTTTCTCTTAAGTTAATGCTGTATATTGAGCAGCGGATGATGTTAAATCCATTTACGTCATACATATCTGAGGAAAAATGCATTGTTGGTCAGCGCCACCTAGTGTGCAGGCGTCAATTAGCAGAAAGTGAACAATCGGTTTATTTTTGGCTCTGTGAAAAGCATGTAAGAGCCTCCGACATCACGGGGCATGATTGAAAACACAGGAAGCTCCCTGCTGAGTTCTATAACAGGATTAGGTGCCGTGCCGTTCCCCTCGCTGTACCTGCCTCCCCTCAGATCTCTCCAAAGATGTACACAGTCCCTGTCCTCACTTACCCTGAACTTGAGCACAGCGAGACCAAAGATGCTATTTAATTTTGAAAATATCATATAGTGGCAGTGAGTTTTGAGATTTTAGTCCATTTTATCAAACAAGTGAAAATTTATTTTTGGCAATCATATAACTGTGATATATACACTGTAAAAAAAAAATCCGTAAAATTACGGTAAAAAACCGGCAGCTGTGGTTGCCAGAATTTTACCGTAAATAATATGGTAGCAACATTTTAGGTTTTACAGTTTTAACTTAAATTTAGAGTTAAATACCGTAATTTCATTAACTGATATAATGTTAATATACCAACCTATTGAAGTACTGAAATCTGTTTTGAACCTTTGTAATACACTGATAACCACTAAATGCAGGTGGTGATGATAAAGTCACATGATGAACCAAAGCCCATCACAAGCAGCTTTTTAATAATAACATATATAGAAGGTGCACAGTGACATTCACACAAACACTAAACACCATCATGGTAACACACATGAAACTGAAATAATGCAATAAACATTAATTTAACAACATTAGGTGTAACATACAACCCTAATATACAAAACTGATAAGAAAAACAGTTATTTGAAACAGTTATTATAAACAGTTATAGAAACGGGTATTTCAACAAAAAACATCAAATTTGAAATGTAACGCAGGGAATTCTGGGAATGTCAATTTACGGTTATTCACTGTAAATTATACATCTTTTTCACTTCCAAAAATGGTATACTACCGTGAAATTACATGTAATGTCCAATACAGTTTTTTACCGTATATAGTAGGGGAATTTACCGTTAACCATTTAACAGGTATATATATATACAATTCTTGTAATTGGTAAGGTAAAATGATTTTGTGGATTTGGGGGTCATTTATGATGGAAAAGCATGTTTTATGTCAAGCATTTAAACAGGAAATGATTGCAATATGTCTCTTTACCGTTACAGTCGGTGGATTTGACCCAGAGTTCCTTGAGCATGGATGCTTCAGACAGTGAAGATGATCAGGTGACGCAAGCACACATAAATCACATAGCACATAATCAGAAATGCCTGAATGGTCTGTGAAAGGCTTGTGTCAAAGGGATAATTCACCCAAAAACTGAAAATTCTGTCATCATTTACTCACCCTCATGTCTTTCCAAATTTGTATGACTTTCGTTTATCTTCAAAACACAAAAGAAGGTATTTTTAATTTAACCTGAGAGATTTCTATCTTAAAATAGTAAACAGAATTGTAAACATTAAGCGTACGTACTTGACATGCAAGAATAAACCTGAAAACCTGTAACCTTGTAAATCATCAAAACTATATAACGCAATAATTTCTCTTCAGAAGACTTGGATTAAACAGCTTGATTCATATTGATTGCTTTTACAATGTCTTTATGAACTTTTTGAATCAAGAAAGTTTTGGATGAATGCAGTTTCAGTTGAGGGACAGAATCTCTCAGGTTTCATTACAAATATCTTCATTTGTGTTCCAAGATGAACGAAACATATGGGTTTGAAATAACATGAGGGTGAGTGAATGATGAAAGAATGTAATTTTTTTTGGTGAACTGTCCCTTTAAGAGTAAGCACAAACATGCTTTGAATGGTGATGCAATGCATTTAAATAGTTTGTAGGCATTTAGTGATCCAACTAAGCACACTAACACAGTGTTTCCAATTTTACATTTAAATGTCTCCAAGTAATGTTTTGATCATTTGATCAAATGATCATTTGAATCGAGCACCTCTGGGTGTGGAATCAGACTAGTAACAAGTTTGGAATGTTCCATTAAGGCCAATGCTGAGAGATTCATATTAAGAGTGTGCTTATCTGCTGTTGTTTTGGCTAGTTTGGATCCTGTAGAACTTGTTCAGCTAAGTGTTGTGTTACCAGCGGTATTGAGAGATACTAACATGTATTCAGAACCAGTACTTTCACAGTCAAAGGCAGTTTGAAACACAGACATTAGAGAGCAGGTCACTGCTTGTATCCATTAGAAAGGTTAAATTTGAATACAAGTGTTCAGTCTGTGCATTGAAAGGGCATTTCTGCACAAGCATCTCACGCACAACACCAACGCCTATCTGAAACTGCTCCAAAACAATCTCAAACCCCTGAAAAACATGCACTCTTGGACTTGTATTGTTGCCAGGGCTTAAAATAGCTCTCATGTGTTTGTGTTATGCAATGCTTTGAGCTGGACCAGAGGCTGTTTTGAGCAATTGGGTTTTGGTGAGAAATGTAATACTTGTTGGATATTTTAAATGGGGATTCATTTTTGTTATATGTGCACTACTTTTCAAAAGTGTGAGTTCAGTAATGTTTTTTAATGCCTCTTAGACTCACCGTGTCTGCATTAATTTGATCAAAAATACAGTAAACGGTTATATTGTGAAATATTATTAAAATAACCTTTTTTTTTAAATAACTTATTTTAAAATGTAATTTTTTCCTGTGATGCAAAGCTGAATTTTCAGCATCATTACTCCAGTTTTCAGTGTCACACGATCCTTCAGAAATCATTCTAATATCCTGAAGAAACGTATATATGCTGCTCAAGAAACATTATTACCAGAGTTGAAAACATTAGGCTGCTGCTTAATATATTTATGAAAACCATGATAAATTTTTGGCAGGATTCCTTAATGAATAGAAAGTTCAAAAGAACAACATTTATTTGATTTAGAAATCTTTTGTAACATTATAATTGTCTTTACTGTCACTTTTGATGCATGAATTTAATGCATCCTTGATAAATATAAGTATTAATTTCTTTTAAAAAATACCTGAGCACAAACTTTTAAACAGTAGTGTAATGAGTGCGGTGCACAAATACTATTGATTGAATGCTTTGTTTGGAGTGAACCAAAAAGGAACCAAGAAATAGATGAAACCGCAGAAAAAAATGGATAAAATTGTAAAAACAAGTGTTTACATTTTATTAATTTTTCAAAATTTTCCATATTAAAGTTGATGTATTTATTGGCACCCTGCTCTCTAGACATCATATCAGTAATGGCTATTAAAACCCATATTAGTTAATCACTAGTGACATTTGACAGTGGTGTTGAATGCTGGCTGTCCTTGACTGCAGGGGTTACGAGTGAAGTAGGCGTGTGGTCTGAAAAGCATTCCAGCGGTTCACCCTCGCAGCCTGGCTGTCTGCTGGAAATGGGATATTCCAGCAATCTGGGTCAAAACGGCTGCCAAGCTGGACCTGAGCACAGCACAAACACACGGCTGGCTCACTTAGAACTCATTCACACCAGTTCCTGATGTACTGTGCCATTAAAAGCATGCTAATTTTTATTCTTTTTTTTTTTTTTTCAAAAGTGTTAACTTGAATTAATTCTCTCCTTTTTATGAAAACACGTTTCTTACACTAAATAAATATAAAAGGTAATTGTGACTTTTTCTGACTTTTCTTATACCTCGCAATTCTGACTTTATATCTTGCAATTGACTATTTTTCTCAGAATTGCAATAAAATATAAACTTGCATTTCTGAGAAAAAAACTCAATATTGATTTATGTTGCTGCAAAATTGTTTCGAATTTAAGTGTGAAAACCTTCCTTCAAATGAAGAATTATTTAAATAATAATAATAATAGTTTAAAATGCAAGCAGCCTTCAAAAATCAAGACTTGGTATTAGTGATGCAGATCTGAGTCTCCAAACGAAAAAAAAAGCTGTGCTTATACATCCGTAAGGACAAGCAAACGAAAAACATTGCCAACATAACCTTCAGTTGTTTCTGCTGGAGAGGCTTTTGTTTGTGTTTCATTCTGAAAGGAAATAGCTGAGGACAATCATAATAATTGGTCACGATGAGTCAGTGTTGGTGAAAGTGGCAGAGTGTCTGGTTTTTATTTTTTTTTATTACGGTTTATGACCACGAACAAGAATTTATTCTGATGCCACTGGTTTTCTGGTGGTTAAGGGATGGAAGGAAATGCTTTGAATACAACCGTCTATTTGAAACTGTAACCCAAATATGCATGTTTTGGTGGGGAAGTAGCTTGAAAGAATTTTAAGATTTCGTATTAAAGCTGTAAACAAATTACACATCTTATTGAACTGATGTAGACTTACTAACATCTGTCATCCATGTCCCCCTCCATCCTATAAAGATGTCTTATGAAGCTTCTTCGAGACCCGGCACACCTCAGGGCTCCGTCCCCGTAGACTTCAGTTTTCCCGCCAGCTCCGTCTCCTGCTTAGACAGCTCAGCTGCCCGTCACCGCATTGCTGTCAAAGCCAATGCTTGTGTCAAGAGAAAGCCTGCCAGCGTAAGATTCTTCACATTAACCATTCATATGCTTCAATTATTCATGGTGTCTTATCATATCAGGCCAACAAGCCGTTTAGTGATGTTTTATTCTCGTTTAAGTTGTCTTTTTGAGCGATACAGGAGCGATCCTGGAAAAACTTCATCTGTTTGTTTTAGCGGTTGAACGGTGCTGTGTGCTTATTCATGTTTAGAAGCAAATGTTGGACAAGAGAAGGGACCTGAGAGAAAGAGTGCTACTCAGAGACAAAGAGGACAAAATGCGGATGATGGTCACAAGTATTGGAGAAGAACAGAAAAGTATGTCTGTATATACACTACAAAAGTGTTAATTGCAATTGTCACCTAAAAGAGCTATTTCTACCTGATTTAATCTATAAAATTTGTTTTGTTGACTTTTTTTTTTTCTTTTTTTTTTTTGAAAGAAACAAATATTTTTATTCGGCAAGTATGCATTAAATTGACCAAAGGTGTCAGTAAAATAATTTGTTACAAAAGATATTTTAAATAAATGCTGTTCTCTTGAACTTTCTATTCTTCAAAGAATCCTGGAAAAAAAAATATGCCACCGTTTCCACAAAAATATTAAGCAGTAGAAGTGTTTTCAACATCAATAATAAGAAATGTTTCTCGTGCTGCAAATCAGCACATGAGAATGTTTTCTGAAGGATCATGTGAAGACTGAAGTAATGATGCTGAAAATTCTGATTTACATCACAGGAATAAATTATATTTAAAAAAATGTACAAATAGAAAACAGTTATTTTCAATTGTAATATTATTTCAAGTTTTTACTGTGTTTTTTATTAAATAAATGCAACCTTGGTGAGCAGAAGAGACTTCTAGACTTCTTTCAAAAACATAAAAAAATCTTACCGACCCCAAACTTTTCAATTGTAAAGTAATTCAATAACTGTTGTTAGTAGTTCAATAATAGTTTTTCTGTTGTTCAATTTGGTCTAGATTTGCCCGGAGAACAGGTGAATGATTCAGACGGTGAATCATTTGCTTCTGAAGAAGAGGAAGAGGAAGTGACTACTCCAACATCCTCCATCTTTGCCGGAGACGTCTCTGAAGGAGAGGAACATGTTCCTGCTGAGGATCACGTCCCCAAGTCTGAGGTCCCAGAATCCTCTTGGGAGCGTCCAGTAACACTCGAGCTGCAGGCCGATGACTTCCTGTTGGACACAGGATGTGAGGTCGTTCCTGAGGAGCAGGGGTCACTGCTTGAGGAAGTGTTGAGCTCCCTGAAGAGCCCTCTTGCATCAGGACTAGCACTGGAGCATGAGAATATGCTTCTTCAGAGTGAGGTACAGCACATTCAGTGGCATTTTCAAGAAGATTGCAACAATGAGACATTGCATCTGCAACTTACTGGCATAATTGTTAAATAAGGGTGTCTGAGACAAAGAAATAAAAAGTGCAAAGCTCCTAGAAATGTACTGTTTGCATTCATGTTAGTTTTGAAAACTTTTGTATGATTTTCATTCAAAGTTTAAATATAATGACTCTAAACTAGTAATGTGGTGTAATTAAGTTTTTCTTATACCTTAAATACATGTACATATCTTAATAATTATTTTCAAATGATTGAAAAAATACTTCAAATGAGTTTTTAAATAGAAATAAGTAAATAGTATTTTTTTTACAAATATAAATTATTTATTCAAAAATATAATTCAGTTTTTTGTTGTTGTTGTTGTTGTTTGTTTTTTATTAATTTTACAACCCAAACTAACTTCTAACTAACTAACAGTCATGAGGGTCTAAAGGGGTTGTCTCTGATATAATTTATTTATATATATATATATATATATATATATATATATATACATATAATATATATATATATATATATTTACATATAATTTATATACATCGCTTTGATTTGGACAAATATTTTTCAAATGTTTATTATATTTTAACTTGCATTTCTAAAAAGTTTTATTTCTTACTAAAATAAAATGAAATAAAATAAAATTATTTTGTCTTTTATTAAATGTTTATGTATTATAGATTTTGATTTAATATTATTAAATATATAGTATATTTATATTCTGTATAAATTCTTTATAAATTAATATAATATTCTTAATAATAAAGGAATATGTCAAACTACTCAATAAGAATTTAATATTTTTATTTAGGCAGTTGTTTCATGCAAGGTTTTTTTTTTTTTTTTTACTTTATGCCTCCAAAAATAAGAAAATTGAATGAATATTATTTCAGAAATTGTATTTTTATGTCACTGATGTATGAATTGTATTTTTGATACATTAGAAATGGCATTATGTCATTGATCTACAGTACAAATTAATTTAATTTGAACTATTTGTGCTTCCTTTTTGTAGGTGGAATTCATAAACAGTGAGAGTGTGGTTTCTCGGCTTGAGGAAGGCAACAAAGATCTTCTCGATTCCTCAGAGCCTATGGTGACCACAAAGGAGCAGGTTCCTCTACCAGACTCGCTTTCAGAGTCATCTGTAGATTCAGAAGAGATCTCCGAGGAGACCACAGAGGAAGAGGAGCTGCTGGAGGTGCCAGAGTCTGCTGATGCAGGTCACCAAGTGCCTGAAGCTGATGACGAGAAACAAGCAGACAAGGCTGAAAGTGCCGAAGAGGACGAAGAGTTATTAGAATCGCCAAAAGCTTTTGCAGTAAATGTGACAGAGCAAGATGAAGATGCTGTTGAGGATGAAGCTGAAATGGAGACAGAAACCAAAGACGCTGGAGAAGAAGATGATGAATTGCCAGTGGTGGAACCTGAGAAAAGGGAGGACTCTACTAATGATGTTGAACGTCAAGAGGTCGGAGGTCAGACAGCTTCTCTAGAGCCTGAGAAAGATGAGACTTCATGTGACCAAAGAGAATCATCTGCAGTCAATGTGGAGAACATTCCTGAATCTGATCCGACAGTCCGAGATGATGTCTGGAGCTCATCAGAGACCAGTGATGAGCCTGAAGCCTCTGAAGCTCCGCCAGAGACGCCTGTCGAGGTCCTTCTTTCTACTGTGGCTCCTGTGCTAGAGAGTCCAGTTCTCCATTCTCAGTTGTCTCCTGTAGATCAAGAAGAGCAACCTGAGCCCAACAAGCTGGATGTGTCTGGTGAGCCTCAGGAAGTGTCTTCAGAAAAACTTGAGGTTGTTTCTGAGCAGCAAGATCAGCAAGTTTTTGAGTCGCCTACAAGAGAACTGACGGGAATCGCTGAGGTTCGACCTCGGTTCACCATCACCCCTGCGTGGCAAAGGTCATTGGCTTCTGGAGGCGCCCAAGAGCAGTCCCAGACCATCTCAGCGGTGCCACCAGAGACTAATGCCTCTGATGAATCGCCCCAAACAGAGACGCCCCATGCTCAAGAAGAGACGACCCTAGAGACCCCGTTTGGAGTGCGTTTGAGAAAGACTCCAGTCCTGCACCGCTATGGTTTAGATGGAGAATCGCCTTGGAGCCCAGCGCAAACAGAGTCTTCAGGGGCGCAGGAGACCCTGGACCATGACCAGAGTGGCCGGAAGCCCATCCCGCCAAAGAAGCCCGATCTGCTAGTTGACACTGTGATGTCGGCCAGAAAAATCCCAGGTTACCTCCATTCTTAAAAAGCTGATTTTGTGTGTATACATATGCAAACAAATAAATACATTTGTAAAAAATATAAAAAAAATTGTAATCAGGATTTTGTCTTGTTTTCCAGTAAAGATATTTAAAATCCTCAAAACAGTTGCAAAATTAAATAAAATACTTTTTCTTATAATTTATCAATTATTTCCCTTACTAAATTAAAGTTAAATCTAAAGTCATTTAAAAAGTCTTATGTTAATTTTTATTATGCTATACTATTACTATAAGTTAAATTATTTTATTACAAATTTAATTAAAATTATCATCATTAAAATAAAATTTATTTGTATTTATTTATTTAATTTATCTAGTAGGGAATGGTCAGAATATTTTTACTGTAAAACAGGACAAAATACTAATTATTTTAATAATTTAAAATGTAATTTAATTATAATAATTATTCAATTTAATTCATATTTGTTATTGAATAATTATATATTTTGCTATATAAAATAGGACAATTGCAATACCTATACTGCTTAATAGTGCATTCAGTTTAGTGTTCTTTTGGTATTTATTTGTAGGCATAAATTTAAATAATCACAATTTATGTGATTATGACAACTTAAAATGGAAATTGCAATGCATTTAACTTGCATAATATGACATTACAAAGCAAAACACAATATTTAGAAGGAATACTGTAAATAATACATGGCACGGCTTTATTTCATTGATCAGCTTTTGATTGGATCTTGAAAAGTGAGTTATATTATTGTTTGGCATAGTTTTTTATTCTTCTGTGTTATGTCTGCAAAAAAAAAAAGTATCATAAAAATAATATGATGCATATTTTTTGTCCTATTTCAGATACAGGGGGAAGAATATCTGTTGGTAGCACCGAGTCTCCAAGCTGGATCTCTGTGGCCAGACAGAAGCAGAGGAACTTCATCGAGAACTCGCCAGAAAACTCTCCAGAGAAACTTCCCTCACAGGTTTGTGCTGTTCCTTTATATACTGAACAAATATGTCATGTCAAATCTTACCCGGTTCTCAAGGAAGTGTCTGAAAACTGTGTCTTAGCATCATGAAACAACAGGACAATCAGATTCACACATGTATCCTACTTCCATGCTGCAGCTTGGGAAAATGCAGTGTTCTGCAAAGATTCCATGAGGTGAAATGAAACGAACACTAAACCAAGTGAGGTTTTATTTCAGGATGCTGACTCTTTTTTTGTGGTAATTTGTATTAGCCGATGCTAAAAAAATGCTTTAGTCCTTCATGGATCTTTTGTGTTCTTCTCTCAAATATTGTTTATTTTCCCTCATTTTTTAAAATGTGTCCACTTGTTCTCAGGGGGACGTCAAAAGACAGGATTCACCGGACACTTTATCAAATCCAATCGCCAAAGAGCAACTGACACAGCCATGTTCACCTTTACAAGGTAATAATCTTTCCATTAGGATCATTCACTGTCATGGCCTTACATAGCAAAGCTTTAGGTTAGATTTAGGTTTGTTCTGTTTGGTCTAAAAAGTGCAATGACCTGCAAAGTCCGAAAATACGGTTTTAATCTCTTAATAGCACGAGGTTATGTTTTAAAGGGATACTCCACCCCAAAATGAAAATTTAGTCATTAATCAATTACCCCCATGTCGTTCCAAACCCGTAAAGGCTTTGTTCGTCTTCGGAACACAATTTAAGATATTTTGGATGAAAACCGGGAGGCTTGTGACTGTCCCATAGGCTGCCAAGTAACTTACACTGTCAAGGTCCAGAAAAGTATGAAAGACATCGTCAGAATAGTCCATCTGCCATCAGTGGTTCAACCGTAACATTATGAAGCGACGAGAATACTTTTTGTATGCGAAGAAAACAAAAAGAACGACTTTATTCAACAATTCGTCTCCTCTATGTCTGTCCGCAGGCAGCTTACGCTCTTCTGTGTCAGCCGCGCCACAAGGATACGTTTTCTACGTGTATTTACGCTTTGATTTGAACGAAAACAGCGCATCCTTCTGGTCCTTATTTTTTGTTTTCTTCACGTACAAAAAGTATTCTCGTCGCTTCATAACGTTACGGTTGAACCACTGATGGCAGATGGACTATTCTGACGATGCTTTTCGTGCTTTTCTGGACCTTGACAGTGTAAGTTACTTGGCAGTCAATGGGAGAGTCACAAGCCTTGCGTTTTTTTTTATATCTTAAATTGTGATCCGAAGACGAACGAAGATTTTACGGGTTTGGAACGACATGGGGGTAATTGATTAATGACTAAATTTTCATTTTGGGGTGGAGTCGCGTTTTTTTTAATATCTTAAATTGTGTTCCGAAGACGAACGAAGATTTTACGGGTTTGGAACGACATGGGGGTAAGAGATTAATGACTAAATTTTCATTTTAGGGTGGAGTATCCCTTTAAGCGCAGATTGAAAAGGAAATCAATGTCTGCCCCCTAGCGGATATGTATTGTAACTGTCTAAATTTCCTATATAATTCAATATAAATACTACAATCATACAGTACTTTTTCTTACTTTCACACTGCCAGCCAAAAGTTTGCCAGAAATTTAATGCATCTTTTCTGAATGAAAGTATTAATTTCTTCTTCTTTTTTTTTTATTGGACTTTCCCCAAACCTTTGAATAGTAGCGTATCAACGTTTCCACAAAAATATTAGGCTGCACAAATGGCTTTAACATTGATAATAATAAGAAATATTCTTTAGCATATCAGAATGATTTCTGAAGGATCACTGAAGACTGGAGTAATGATGCTGAAACTTCAGCTTTGATCGCAGCAATAAATTAAATTGTAAAATTTGTTAAAATAGAAAGCAGTTATTTTAAATTGTAATAATATTTCACCAATATCTGCAGCAATAAATTAAATTGTAAAATTTGTTAAAATAGAAAGCAGTTATTTTAAATTGTAAATTGTATTTCACAATATCACTGTTCCTACTGTATTTTTGATCAAATAAATGCAGCCTTGGGGAGCATAAGAGACTTCTTTCAAAAAAAAAAATGTTGTTTAATTTTGGCTGGCAGTGTGTGTGTCAGATCTATTTAATTGCATAAATATATTATGTAATAGACTAAAGGAATAATCTATAAATGAAGATGAATATCTAAGCTGTTTTACATTGGTTTTGAATGAACAGTGTTCTGCTCCCTTGAACTGAACAACACATCCACGTTAGAGAAGGAAAGTAAGAGAAGCGCTAACCCGTCCGCTGCACCTTTGGTCCAAGATGAGCCTCCCTGGCTGGCTCTCGCTAAGAAGAAGGCCAAAGCATGGAGTGAAATGCCCCAGATTGTTCAGTGAAAAGCCCAGCTGGCAAATGGACTTCATAATTCTCCTCTATATTTTACATACACATGAACAAAACTTTGCTTAATCAGCCCGGTGTCATTTATGTTTTTTGACGTCGTAAAGGAGACGGATGCACAGTAGACTGGGGCTTATGGGTAATACGTTGCATTTGTAAGTTGATTTGCAACAAAATACATTTACATTAGTTTAATCAGACTGTCACAGGTCAGAGTTCAGAATGCTTCAAACTGAGGAAAACAATCCTAACAGGTTTTGCATACAAAAAGAAAAAAACATTCCAAAAATTTGAAAATGATGAGCCGCCATCAAAGCTTTATTTAGTGTTTTTATTTAGGACTGTTTGGAGACCGTCACTGCTCTTTATTAAGTAACTTTGCTATGTTCTGTTATAGCCTTGAAAGTTAGTAACACAGTTATCATGAATGGAGCTGAAGGTGTCTTTGTATTTATTTATCTCACTCTTGTATGTTTTATGTATTTTTGTATTTACGTGCACAGTTTTGTGACTTGTACATAAAAAATAAAAATAAATCAAGAAAAATAATCAAATGGAGCCATGTTTATTTGATCCAGCCACTGACACAGATGTCAGATTTCCTTCCTTTATATTCATTTTTCCTGTTTCTTCAGGATTGTAGTATGGTTTATTATCAAATATTTGATCCAGGTAGTATTTAATGCATATAATTGTCATTCTAAAAGCATAAAGTGTGAGCAAAAGATAACATTAAACCATCCAGTATTTTTTAATCTATGTAAAACCCAACATGTGCCGAGACAATAAAAATACAAACATTATTTAACATTATTAGTTCATGTTCATTCACTTAATGTTTTGACATTTCGAATCATTTGAATGAACAATAATGCTTATACATTATTAGGAATGGTTCAGAACAGATTTGGAGATATTTTGCATTGTATCACTTGTTCACCAGTGGATACTCTGCAGTGAATGGGTGCCGTCAGAAAGCTGTGTTTGTGAGAAGTGGCCTTAGGTTGAGTAAATTTTCCCTTTTGGGTGAATTATTCCTTTAATAAAACAATGTATTTTAAATGTTGTTGACAAAAGTTCTTTACACTTATTAAAGGGATAGTTCACCCAAAAATGAAAATTTGCTGTTTATCTGCTTACCCCCAGGGCATCCAAGATGTAGGTGACTTTGTTTCTTCAGTAGAACACAAACGAAGATTTTTAACACAAACCGTTGCAGTCTGTCAGTCATATAATGGAAGTGAATGGCAATCACGGCTTTGAGAGTCATAAAACATACACAAACAAAACCAAATTAAACCCTGTGGCTCGTGACAATACACTGATGTGTAAAGACACGGAACAATCGGTCTGCGCAAGAAACTGAACAGTATTTATATCGTTTTTTACCTCTGATTTACCACAATGTCCAAACTGTCCTGAGCACATTCTCAACAGCCGGTGCGTGACGCGTCTTCTTCTTCTTGCTTTATGGCAGATCGCAGACT